GAGGTGACTAAGCAGGGGCAAAGTCGAATCTGTGGGGCGGTCCCGCTTGAGGGGCCGGCTGGGCTGGCTGGCCGGGGACATCCGCGTGGGGCAACCACAGGCAGCAGGCTGCCGCCCGTCATGTCCAAGTTTAGTCGCTTTTTGTGAACAGGCCTCTCATGCGCCACCGCGGCTGGACAACGCCTTTACCTGCCACACACGCACCCTCAAACCCATCACAAAACCCAAACACTGCAACACCCAAAACCTCCATTTGTTATCCATCCAGGGGGACGAGGGCGATGACACCGAGGTCCCAGACGCGGCTGGCGCGGCCGCCACTCCGGAGGCCGGCGCCGCGCCCGCGGCCCCGCGCCGCCGGCAGCGCCGTCAGGCGCAGCTGCTGCCCGGCAGCATGCGCATCCGCCGCACCGCAGCTGCCACGCTGCTGTGCTGGCCCAAGGCGGCGCCAGAGCCGCGGCGGCTGCTGGCGGTGGCAGGCGCCACGAGCATCGACGGCGCGGCGCCAACGCGCGGTTGGGCGCCGTCGGGAGAGCCTGTTTTGCTTGACCTGGTTGCGCCGCCGGCGGCAGTGGCGCCTGAGAACGGCGCGGCGGCTGAGGCAGCTTCAGTGGGAGATCTATGGGTGCTCCCTGTAGGGACTGTCGGCGGCGTGCGGCCGGGGGCGGCGGTGTGGCTTTCGGACGCGGCGCCTGGCGGGGAAAAGCACGAACCCCGCCCCGGAGAGCCGCAGTGGTTGTGGTGCCTGCTGCCGGGCGGCGGCGGCGCGGTCGGACGCGTATCGCGCCCCGTGCTCGAGGCCGCAGCGGCGTGTGCGGCGGCGGCGGGCCCCGACGGCGGCGGCGGGGAGGGTATGCAAGGCGGCTGGCGGGGCTGGTGCGCGAGCATACGCACGATCCGTTGGGGCGCAGAGGGTGCGGTGCACGCAGGCACGGCAGGCGGACGCGTTGTGCGGGGCATCACCCTGCGGTTGAGGAGGGAGCAGCCCTAGGCCTGCTTGGCTCCAGCTATCCAATACTGTAAGGCTTGCTGGCGCTTCACGTGCTCTAATTGTGGCTGTGCTGGCATCTATGCCTTCGCGGACTGGTGGCGGATCCAGAGATGCAGTGCAACCAGCAGAGTGACTCAGCAACACACCATGCGCAGAGAGTCACATGTGTGCAGCAGATCATGCCAGTCGAACCGCAGAAGAGTACAATATTGTGTCGACCAGTGTGGTCTCATTTGCACCGTGGAGCGCATATGATATGCCCAAGTGGATCCCCTGTCTGGATCAGTCGGGCGCCAGTCTCATTGAACCAGGTTCCCCCCCCCCTGCATTGAACGAAGTCAATGAGTCAAATGGCAGCAGGCTCCGAGACGTTTCCTGTTGGCACAAGAATACATCTAAGGCAGGTTGCAAGCTAATCCTTGTGACAACAGCCAGCCAGCGTGCCATCTAGCTCGCCGTGCCACTTCGTTAGCACCATTTAGCGGGACCACGACAGGCACCGCTGAGCCTTCGGGACGGAATTTGCGCCATGTTGTATCGTGGCATTGCCGGCAGGCCTCAGACGACCTCCAGCGTCGGGCGGCTGGGGTGCAGCAAAATGATCCCGCAGACACCCGTTGCTTTCCGGACAATGGCTGTGCAGACGGACGCTCAGGTGGCACCTGAAAGCCTTTCAGTTACCGCCGGTGCGGCCAGTAGCAGCAGCAGCGGGCGCGTCCCATCGCTCGGCGCGCTCGAGGGCGGCAGGATCGTTGCATCGCCGCAGCAGCCTTCGGCGCTCACCAGCGCCGGCATCGCGCGCGCAACCAACAAGTCACTTGAAGAGGTAGGCGTGCGCATGCGGTTCCGGCACGCATACAATCACGTAGAGCATGGGCCCTCCACCGGGTGCACGCGCGACTGGTCTGGGAGCAGCTGGTCTGAGTTGCAATTCGTTGCCGGCTCGTGGTCACCCTGCTTGCGCCACGTGCCTGGGGCAGCATTCATCTGCCCCTGCAGCTGCCGGGACCCTGCGCTGCAACTCCTGCGTCCCGGCGGCCGTGCGGCAGGCAGCCCGGCCCCGCCTCACGCCTCCAGCCCCCATCACCCCTGAGGCGCTCCTGGCACAGCGGCCCGTGGCAAACCGCGTCCCCAACCGACTCTGGCCCCGCTTCTTTGTCTTGTTCACTCCCCAACGCAACCCCGCCAGCTGTCCATGGCCTCCAAGTCCCCCAACCGCGTGGCCTACCAAGGCGTGCCCGGCGCCTACAGCGAGATGGCGGCCCGCAAGGCGTGCCCCGACTGCGAGCCGCTGCCATGCGACCAGTTCGAGGTGGCGTTCCAGGTCAGCAGGACGAGAAGCTGCGCGGCAGCCGCCTTGGCGCTCCGCGGCGGCGATCCTGCCCTGCAGACGAAGGGGCGGCTTGCGCTGTTGCGCGGGTGTGTTGACGCGCCGGCGCCGGTCGGCACAGCAGTGCGGCGGTCACAGGATCACGCCTGCGAGGGGCGTGGCCCCCCATCACAGCTCTGACGCACGCACACAACGCACACACGCACACTTTCAAACATTCACACACACACACACACACAGGCTCTGTCGCAGTGGATGGCGGAGTGGGCCGTTCTGCCCATAGAGAACTCCCTGGGCGGCAGCATCCACGCGGTGTACGACCTGCTGCTGCGCTACCGCCTGCACATCGTGGGGGAGACCAGCGTGTCGGTCAACCACTGCCTGCTGGCCCTGCCGGGCACCAAGCTCTCGGAGGTCACCCGGGTGCTGTCGCACCCGCAGGCGCTGGCGCAGGTGGACGGGTACCTGAGGAACCTCAAGGTGGGGGCAGGCGCACGCTCGCGCGGGTGCATGTGTGGCAGTGGGACGGTGGGTGTGTGGGATGGGGTGAGCCAGGCGGGAGCAGGGGTGCAGCAACGGCTGGCGCGCGAGGATCTGGCGAGGGCGAGGGGGACGCTACGGGGATCGGCGTCGAGCTGTGCAGCGCAAGGATGACTCATGGTGCAGGTGCTGGCCGTCAGTGCAGCAAGGGTGCGGCCGCGGCATACTGGCCCCATCAGTTGGGGTTGGCGTTCCCCGTCGCGTCCAGCATCACGTTGCTATCGGGGTTGGCGATGGGGCTGGACACGAAGATTAGAAACCCCAACGAATGTTTTTGAGTGCTCCCTGCGCATTATCGGCACACCCACCACACGCGCTTGTACGCACATACGCATCCCCTCACCCACCGCACCCCCCACACCTCTCCTCCCTGCCCCGTCTCCGCCGCTCTCACACCCAAAGCACACGCCCCCCCTCCCCCCCCCCCCCCCAAGGTGGTGAAGGAGGCCGTGGACGACACGGCCGGCGCCGCACAGATGGTGGCGCAGCAGCAGCTCCGCGGCGTGGCGGCGGTGGCGTCGCGGCGCGCGGCAGAGCTGTACGGCCTTGAGATCCTTGACGAGGGCATCCAGGACTTCAAGGACAACGTGACGCGCTTCATCAAGCTCTCGCGGTGAGGGGGAGAGCGTGTGCGTGTGGTATGTGTGTCAGCTTTGTGTGTGAGTATGCGTGTGAGTGTGTGTTCTGTGTGCGTGTGTGCGTGAGAGAGAGCGAGAGTGTGTGTGTGTGTGTGTGTGTGTGTGTGTGTGCGTGCGTGAGTGTGCGTGCGTGCGTGCGTGTGTGTGTGTTTATGTGTGTGTGGGTTTGCGTGATGGGGTGCTTTTGGGGCGTAGTCTGGTACCACAGGAAGGAGTTTCCCGGGGCAATTGTGTTGATGAGACTGGTCGGATTCGATGTGACAGGCTTTGTCACGCCATATCGTGTGTTGGTGACGGGGGGTATGTAGGCATGCGTGCCCGCGCCCACATGCAAGTGGGTGCATAAGGTGTGCGGGTGGTGGGACGACCGTGCGGCGCATGCAGCAACCCGTCCACGCTGCTAGCAACCACCCTGCCTACCGAAGGTCCCCCTATCCAGCCACGCGCGCCCCCAACCATGCCCCGCTGCCCCGCTGCCCCGCTGCCCCGCTGCCCCGCCCCGCCTGCCGCTGACGCACCCTCTCCTTGACGCCGTTCGGCCGCACCACTGCCTGGCCCCCAGGGACCCCCTCGTGTCAGCCGACGCTGACGCCGAGGTGCCCTACAAGACGTCCATCGTCTTTTCCCTCAAGAAGGGCCCCGGACAGCTCTTCAAGGCCCTCTCAGTCTTCGCGCTCCGCGACATCGACATGACTAAAATCGAGTCGCGCCCGATGCGCACCAACCCGATCCTCACCGTCGACAAGGCCTCGGTCGACGGCAGCGTGCCGGCCGGGGCGCAGCGCTTCAACTACCTGTTTTACGTGGATTTCGTGGGCACCCTCGCGGAGCCGCGGTGCCAGAACGCGCTGCGCCACCTGCAGGTGCGCGCGGCCAGGCTCGGGACGCACCCTCACGCACGCACGCGCGCTTGTGGTTGCACTTTACCGAATTAGCACTTGAAGGGGCGCCGGCGCGGGGAAAACACCTCTGACGGAGCATCTTTCCTGGAACGCTCAAGCCACGGTGTCTGCACTGTGCTCTTCAGCAGCGCAGCGCGCCGCCCAGCTTGAGGGACCGCCGGCCGCCCTCCGCCCCGTCCCCTCACCCCATTATCGCACCCCACACCACCACTCGCGCACCCGCAGGAGAGTGCGCCGTTCCTGCGGGTTCTCGGCAGCTACCCGATGGACGTTGAGCTGGGGGTCAATGACTCAGACAAGCCCGTCGGGTTTGACGCGGCCGCCAACTGATGGTGCAGCCGCTCTGGTGGCTGTCGTCCCTTGAAGCCACGCCGACTGTGCGCGGTCCGCGCAGCAGTCAGATGTGGCATCCCCCACGCGCTTTGACGCGGCGCGCCTGCCGCCTTGGCAGCAGGGGGCTGATTCTGCTGTTACCAGGGGCGCCTGCTGCCCCTGGGTTCTTGGGACCTCTGTTGGCAGGATATCACCTTATCTGACGGTCTGCTGTGTGCGTGTGTGTTTATGGCACAGATTCTTCCCCCGCCCCTCCTCCTGCTCTTGATGCTTCCCTTGGCTTGAGGGTGGCTTTTCACACGCTGCGGCTGCACCCAGGGCGACGCTTTTGGAAGCGAGCTGCACCGCCACCATCAATCATTCTGCAGAGGGCCCGCTGGACTGCTTTGCTGCAAACAAGCAAAGATTTATTGCCACAGGCCGCTGGCACTTCTGCCCGTTGTAGCCGTGTTACGCATCCCCAAGGCTTCCCTCTCAGTGCCAAATGCACACTGAACCTTGCTTGCCAAGGCAACACCGGTGCCTATTATGGTGGCACATCAGATGTCGGGTCGTCAAAGCTGCACAGGCCTCTGGAACTGCTGCTGTGGGTGGGTGACGGTTCAGAAATTTGGTGGGTGTGATCGAGAGGCGGTGCCTTGAGGATGAATGATGCGCGGGTCTCCCGGGCCTGATGCGCACCCTCATACAGGGCTCCGGCAGCCCGGAGCAGGTGGCACGCAACAGCTAGAATCCAAAAGCCCAGGCAACAGCGGACGATGCATTGACGCGGCTTGGAGCTCAGGGGCGCGCACCTGATGCGGGTGGCTGGGGCCCGGGAGGGGGGCCAGCGCGCTGGTGTGCTCCGCAACCGGCCTGATGCGGTACGCAAAACCCTGGCACATATGCATCACGACAGCTGTAGGCCAGGACGTGCCGCGTGGACGTCACCCGTGCATGTGAGCTGGGATACTGGCGCAAGGTTTCCATGGAGAGCGCTCTGAGCGATGTCGTCCTTCCAAGCGGGGGATACACAGGCCGCCGCGCAGGAGACCTGGAAGTTGTCGCTGAGCGGACTGGCGGTGAAAACAACGGTGGTGGCAAGAACAACCGCTGCTGGTAAGGGATGGTGGTCGGGATATCGCTTCTGACTAGCTCACAGTGCACGAGCAGTTGGCTGTGGTAGCAAGGAGTGGTTGGCCGGCTGTGGCGCTCGCACAACGCACATGCATGATTTGGAATATTTTTGGTGCCACCTATCCATTGCTGTGAACCCCACACGGCAGGAGAGCTCCCAGACCATTCACAAGCAGTCATCTACTAGCTTATAGTATTTGACCTTCTGGTCAAAATGCTGCACTGTGCACCACAGCCAAGGTTTGAGTGTGCGGACCTACACATTTCAAGTAAAATGATTTTATGTGTGCATTCTAGCAACACATTGCACAGAATTCCCGCGAGTACTGGCTGCAGCGCTCCAAGGCTCCATTGATGAAGTGAAGCGCAGTCATCAGGCCGGCCGGGTACGGCAGACCGCGCCTTGCAATGTCAAGTCTGAAAAGCCTCGGCCGGGTGCAGACCCTCATTATGAATCTCACACCAAATTTATTGTCTGCACCAGGGCGACTATGCTCTTCACGACCGATGATCCGTGATCAATGATCTGTTTGTCGCGCTGCTAGTGTGAAACCCCCTGATCGGCAAGCATGGATATCCTGAAAATCAGCCAGGAGCTACAGGACCTCCGCAGGAAGCGTGTCGAGGTGAGCGTCCCCTCCTGGCTTTGGAGGCCAGGTGGAGTTGCGCGTCCCGTGATAAGCCGCAAAGTATGCTAGCTAGTCTGTCATGCACAGAGCGCCTACGTGCTGCCTGGGGCTGTTAGTATGGTGCTGCCGCCGACCACTGGCGCTGTTGCTGCTGCGCCCGCTGTGCACCCACGCCCCCTTCCCCTGCCCCCTCGCCCACCGCAGGCCAAGCAGCGCCTCGACTCGCTGTCAGGCAGCCGCGGCGGCCGCGGCCTCGGGCTCGGCGGCAGGGGCGCGGCTGGCGGCGTTTTCAGCCGGTTGGGCGCCCCTCTCAGAGACGACCCACGGGCCGCCAATCGCGAAGAACCCCGTGGCGGCGAGCGATGGCAGCTGGGCCCGCCCGGCCAGCAGCGGCCGCAGCAGCACGACCCGCAGCAGCGCTCCTCGGTCTTTGATCGGCTCGGGAACGGCGACTCCGGCCGATGGGGCCGTAGCGGCGCGCCAGGCGGCCGCGACGGCC